ACCTTGCTAGGTCACTCTCGATCATCTTTGAAATGGCAATCAGGAGAGGTGCCTGAGGACTGGAAGAAAGCAAACATCATCCCAGCCTTCAAAAAGGGCAAAAAGGAGGACCCAGGGAACTACAGGCCAGTCAGCCTCACCTCCATCCCTGGAAAGGTGATGGAACAGCTCCTCCTGGAGGTCCTCACTAAGCATCTGGAGGGCAAGAAGGTGATCAGGAGTAGTCAGCATGGATTCACCAAAGGGAAATCATGCTTGACCAATCTGATAGCCTTCTCTGATGGGACAACTGGCTGGAGAGATGAGGGGAGAGCACTGGATGTTGCCTACCTGAACTTCAGCAAGGCTTTTGACACTGTCTCCCATCACATCCTCATAGGCAAGCTCAGGAAGTCCAGGCTGGATGAGTAGACAGTGAGGTGGATTGAGAACTGGCTGGATGGCAGAGCTCAGAGGGTTGTGGTGAGCTGTGCAGAGTCTAGTTGGAGGCCTATATCCAGCAGTGTACCCCAGGGGTCAACACTGGGCCCAGTGTTGTTCAACTTATTCATCAGTGACCTGGATGAAGGGACAGAGTACCTCTCAGCAAGTTCGCTAATGATACAAAACTGGGAGGAGTGGCTGATACCTCAGAGGGCTGTGCTGCCAGAAGGATCTCAGCAGGCTAGAGATGGGTAGAGAGGAACCTCATGAAGTTCAAAGGCAAGTGCAGGGTCCCGCACCTGGGGAGGAATAACCCCAGGCACGAGGACAGGCTGGGGGTTGACCTGTTGGAAAGTAGCTCTGCCGAGAAGGACCTGGAAGTCCTGGTGGACAACAAGTTGACCATAAGCTAGCAATGTGGGCCAAGAAGGCCAAATATTTCTAGGGGTACATTAGGAAGAGCGCTGCCAGCAGGTCGAGGGAGGTGAACCTCCCCCTCTACTCAGCCCTGGTGAGGCCTCACCTGGAGTACCGTGTCCAGCTCTGGGCTCCCCAGTACAAGAGAGACATGGAACTCCTGGAGCAAGTCCAGCAAAGGGCTACTAAGGTGATTAAGGATCTGGAGCATCTCATACAAAGAAAGGCTGAAGGAGCTGGGCCTGTTCAGCCTAGAGAAGAGTAGGCTCAGGAGGCTCTATTCTTCATTTTTTAAGTAGTTGTACTCTGCTTGCCTAACTAGAATTATTCTTGCTATTTCACATGAATTCGCCCTCATCACACTTATCTAAAGCAGTTGCTCTCTGTAGCTAGAGATGTCAAATAGCAATTTGTTAATGCCAGAAGCAGATTGTTAAATCTATTTGGTCCTTTCACAAAACAGCAGATCTGTCAAATATATAACTTCTTAGGGGCTTCATATTTATCACAGGACACGTTTGAGATGACTGAAAAAAAAAAAAAAAAGTGTGGCTACAGAAGGCTCTCAAAGTTTCAGTAAGATTATGGTGATGTGTCTGCCAAAACCCACCAAGTTGTAATACAAACACCAGAGCAGGTGTATGCCATCGCAGACTGTCAGCTCATGGTGAGGGGCAGACTTGATTTTTGTACTTTTTGGAGGAAAAAAAAAAAGTGTTAGCCAAAAATGAAATCAGAGGAAACTCTGCAAGAAGAAAAGTCTTATTTAATTTTCTATTGTATTTAAGTTCTTATCTTACTAACAATACCAGTCACAAAATATATGATTTCTTAGCAATAGATTGAGGCTCTTTGGAGCCAAACTATTTGTTCTGCATTTGTACAGTGCAAAATACAATAGGATCCTGATTCAAAACAGGGACTTGTAGGCGCTACTGCAATACAAACAATATAATAAATCACTAACTTTTTGCCTTTTACCCACAACCACTTCAAGTAGGTGAAAGGCTTAATGACTTATTCCCCTGCTGCTAGCCATCCAGTCTCCAACACAGATTAGATTTTATTCAGACAATCCCACTGCACTGCTCAGAGGAGAAGCTGAGCTGTGATTAGATAAGAACCACATACAGGTGGTTTAGCTTACCTTTTGAAGTATACAAGTTAAGAGTTGCACTACGCAGGAAGATGACTTCTTGTTGTTGGCTTAGGTTTTTTAAGGTTTTTTCCCTGCACTCCACAGATTCATTTTCTGCATAATCACTGAGAAAATAGACAACATGGAAGAACCCGTATCTTAGTGCCTAAAACACAACATATGTCGGGCAAAAAAAATCCAGTAACTTCATACAGTAATCTAGGCAACTCTCTGCTATTCATGTTTGCCTTCTGGGCTATCAAAATGAATTACCTAGCCAGGGAAATAACATACCATTACAAAAATTAGTGAGAAGCAAGGGGAAAGATTCACATTAGAGGAAAAAGACCCTACTATTTGAATATCACCATTTATCAACAGGACACATCTTTCCAATGCAAGATTTTATAAGACTGAATATGAATGCCCAGCAAAATTGAAAAATATTGATCTTTTGCATTAATGGGAGGCTTTCTATATACAAAAGATTTAAGTGTATCAAACAGCAGAATTTAACAGATATAAAGGTTACATAAATATATGAGGACTGCTCATTTTTGGAATTCATAGATCAAGTTTGTTACACATTCTGAGACTCAGCAATACCCCTTCCTTTTCTTTTTTTCTTTGAAGAGTGGGAAGAATGATTAGCATGCATTTGAGCTGAAGACTTTTTAAGGCTTTGCTGCCAATAAAGTACTCTAGTCACTAAAAAAGAGATGCAAAGAGATCCTTATTATTATTTTTCAAAATTTTGTCCTGCTGGATCTAAAACAGGGCTTGAAAACAACATCAAAACTTTGAATTCAATGCTAATCACAATTTCAAAGGCTTCCCTGGAACTTCTGTTGCAGCTTTTTTGTTTGTTTTCATGTGCAAAAGTAGCTATCAATCTTATCCTGAAACACACTACTGAATTTTAGATTTTCTGTTGATGAATTCACTCTCTCAAGTTCAGAGCTTTCAAATGGCTGGGCTAAGGACAGCAGAGCTCCAAGGAAGTTTTGCCATAAATGTGAGCACTACATCCAAAACTTTTACTGGCATTACATTGACAGCAAGTACCTTGTAGTATGCAATTTTCAACTTTGTGGGATTTTTTTCATTCATTTTTAAAGACTGAAAGCTGGAAAGCATCGTTACAAGAAGAGACAAACTAAGGATAATTACCATGACTGTATTATGGTATTCTCGCTTGGCTGTTTTGACCATTTCAAGTGTACCACAACAGCCCAGTCAAACCACGCTACAAGAATGTCTTTGTTTGGAGATGGCTGCAGAAAGGATTACAATTTCTTGTTTGCCATATTAAGCCATTGCTTTCTCCTACTACCTCCCAATATCTATACTCTATATATAGAGTTGCAGAATTTGTTTAAGCAACTTCCCTGCAGTTTACATAGGAACATAGCTCAGTTCAAGACACTGGAAAACTAGCTTCTGTTCAATGCATTTACACAGCAAAAGATTACAGGAACCTCTCACATTGCTATCTTCACGAATTAGCAAGAATCATTGTAATTCAAGCTGCTCTGGGCATCCAGTAATCACAATCAGTTTGTGTACCTAGTCTCACCCTTTCCTTGCCCTGACACTGCTATTCCTTTGACCCCACACAGAGCCGTTTGAGTTCACCTAAGGCAGCTGAAAATTAGCTTAAACCAAAACACAGCAGTTATTGGTTTCTTTTAGTTTTCTGAGTTGAAATAGCTCAGTACCTGGTGACAAAGGCATGCCAATACAAGCAAGGAGCAAGTGTTCGTAATTGAGAACGGGAAGGCTACAGGAGTGCAGTAGCCAACTGTTTGACTGAATTTATGCTGCTGTGTAGCCAGTGTCAGATGCTGAGGAAGTTTTGCTTTTTCAAATCAGCATTTTCGTTTTAAAATTAGAGTGAAAACACTTATAGCATCAAACCCAGCCTCAATTTCCACAACAAGTGGTCTGAAGGCAGGAAAATAATTTCGCAGTAAAACATTAAAGCTTTCTCGTCTATTTAGTACATGAACGAGTTTCTTTCCTCAGCCCATTCATGTTTAAGATGAGACGCAAGCTTTGACAGAGTACTCTTCCAGCTTCATTTGTATCTTGACTGCTAGATCAAAGTTGAAAACACAAGTTAGAAATAAGGCACGTTTCATCAACACAATTTTATCAGTTGTTTTAAAAATCAAAATAGTTAGTCTAATTGCAATTAAAAAAACAGGTAGACAGACTTTCAGACTTCTAACTTATGACATTAACTTCACTCAGCCTTCGATTGGTTATAAGCCTTAGATTGAAATGAACAATTTCTCTCTCTGAATTTGAACCATATTTAGCAAAAGAGATAGGCACCCCATAAGCCAGACCATAAACATGATTTGATTATAAAAAACAAATTGAAAATGTTTTTGCATTTCCATCTCATGTGTTTTCAGTCCTCTATATCAAATAGAAAACAAATATTCATACAAATATTTTGCATGTGTTCAATTCACAGTCCAGCCTACCTACATTTGATAAATTTATATTGTGTGTTTGCTCATTAAAAAAATTGCGTTCAGGACTCAAACTATTTCTCCTGCCTTTATCTCAGTTCATAACTTCAAAACAGGCACATTTTTCTGGGGAGCTGACAAGCTGACAAAGTCTTTAAACAAGAAATTAAAGAAATTCAGCATCTCATTACTTGAAATACTTGTTTTAAACAGTTAAAAGGTAACACTGACTCAGAGTAATATACACCATGTAAGTCTGTGCAGCTGAGACTAAGAAGAAATGCAGGAGGATCCAAGATATAGATGCTTTACAGCCTTCTGATTTTCTTCCTCTCTCCAACAGATCACAAAATACATTGGTAGAAAAATGAACATTCATACACAATTAGGGGAGCAAGCTAAAAACTAGATTTAAAACTATCCTCTTTGCACAGCCAGTCATTCATGATATTCTTGTATAACCTAGAGATTATGAACCCCCAGTTACAGCTGTCTGAGCACTCAAAAATGGAAAGTGAGAAAAAATGCACAAACACCACATGTGAAATTCAACTTTTATTTTCCTGTTGATAAAACCCAAATATCCCTCACAGCAGCAACAGATGCAGAAGTTATCTGCAGAAATGATACCTCTTAACTCATTCACATACTCAAGTACATCAAGTGTGTAGGGACTGCATATTAAAACAGTACAGGCACTGCTCAGTAGTAATAAAGACTGAGTTTCTTGGTATATTTTATTCCATCCTTTCCTTAACATTATAAGGTTTTCATAGTATTAAAGATGACTGTTGATGAGTTTTGTTTGCTGGGAGTTTTTTTGTTGTTGCCATTTTAAGACTTTCTATGAAATCTTACACATACAACAGCTTTAGGTCCAGAGAAGCCTCCCCACATTTTGTAGTAGTTGACAAACTGTATCCAAATGCTACAGTTCAGAATGAAAAATGCTACTGCATTTAGCAGCTCTAGTTACACTAAAGTAAATATTTCCTTAGAGTAACAGAAAACACCGCTTTTCAGTAACACAAGGGATACAGGTCTTAAAACACACATTTCTATCTTGTACCCATACATTCCTTTATATATATATATATATTTTTTTTTTTCCTCTCTCTCTAAAACAAATCTCTACTATTTTACAATTAAATTAAAACACATCCATGATTTGTCTAACTAGTGATTTTGGTCTCAATACTTCAAACATTAGTTGTTCCATAAAAATATACAATTCAACATCATGGTCCTATCAGTAACATGAAGCCTTTTCAAAGAGGCCTATGACAGATACTCAACCATGCAATTCAGTGCTCAATGTCATCTAACTGATAAATATTTATATTGCATTTTCAAATTATCGATATCTTTAAAAAAAAATCAATTTTCTCTTGGCAGGCTCACCATGCTTACAAACATGCAGAAAGCAACCACATTTCTCACTTATCTGTGACGGTCCTTTGTTACTTCTTTTCCAATAGATCAACTGACAAAGCACAAAATTCACGCTGTCTTTTTTAGATCTTTAACCTTTTACTTTTTTTCACATATTGAATTAAATTCACAACGCAAACTGGCCCATGGGAAGAGACTAGAGATTAGCCATGTAGTAAGAACTGCACTTCTCAGTGTAAACCTCTAAGAATCAACTTCCTAACAGTCATTAGGATGCAGTCATAGCTGCCTTTCGAGTGAACAGACACCCAGTAGACAGTCAAGTTAATTCTAGATACATACCAAAAGGTGAAGATAAAACCCCCCCAAAACAAAAAACCCCACCACACTACTAAGTACAGGCCCAAACCTGGCAGATTCCAAGTGTCCCACTGTCCAGAAAAACAGTTTCTTCAATATAGGATACAACAGTGCTTCCATCACACATGCTTGAGACAAGACATTAATTGCTTATACCTTGAGATTTCCTTGCACTTCACAGCATTCCATGTCAAGTTTTATATGGATGCTGATGCTACTACTTCTGTAGTAAACAAGAACCCTCCAAATCAGAAGCAGTCAGTGATAAATCCCTGACAAGTTCAAACATCAGGGTAACTTAGCATAAGCCTCAAAACTTTTTACCCTTACAAACATGACAATAATTTAGGTACTAGCTATTCCAAATCTTGCACAGTCACCCTGTAAGAGAAGATTACAACTGAACATACTGAAAGCTCAATGCAGGTATGACAATTCAGATGAACATTTTTTTTTTTAAACAATAGTAGAAAGTCAGGGAAACATCTGGACTTTTTTGCACTGCATTAACATATTTTGCTTTTTTCTAAATACAAAAATACATATAGAGAGTCAATCCAGAACTGTCATCACAATTACATCTTATTCCCTTAACTGCTCCAAAATTAGTACAAAATAATATAAGTTATAGGAATGATTGTTGCAAGTTTGTAAGTGTCAGCTATTACAAAGTCATTATAAATGAATACCAATTGTAAGTTATTTACAGGCGAGGTAATAAAACTTCCAGAGTAACGAGTTATGATATAGCAGAAGTGTAAAAATAATGTACTCACCAAAAAAACTACAAAAATCTAGTATCATTTTCAGTACACAGTAGATCATGATTAGGTTTTTGCAGTTGATATATAACACGTTTTCAGGAAAGTGCCAAAATCCTGCTACATAATCTTTGCTTCCAAAATCATTTAGCAAAAAAACCTGTGGATTCAGTTTTAAATAATGCCAAAAGAAAGTAGGCTAAGAAAACTGATGTCAACTGTAGAAATCTCTTATTAAACACCTTTGAAAAAATCTGCAAGTTTGCTTCATGCTTAAAGGTTCTGACCTGAAAAAGATTTATAAAAGTCAACTCAATAGAAATATTAACATACATGATTTTTCAGGATAACTTAGGCCATTTTAAAAGTACACATTTTTAAGCAGAGAAAAATACATAGAAACCAAAACCAGAGCATTTTGGAAATGGCTGAATTGCCAGATGCAAAGGGTTATGATCAGCTGCACAAAGCCAGCAGGAAGCTGGTCACTAGTGATGTGCCCGAGGGGTTGATACTTGGACCAATACTGTTTTAACATCTTAATTAGTGACCGGAATGATGGGACAGAGTGCACCCCCAACAAGTTTGCAGATGATACCAAACTAGGAGGAGCAGTTGGGCTGCCATTCAGAAGGACCTCGACAGCCTGGAAAAACAGGCAGAGGGGAACCTCATGAAGTTCAACAAAGGGAAGTGCAAAGCCCCGCCCTGGGGATAAATAACCCCATGTGCCAGTACAGGCTGGGGGCTGACTGGCCGGGGAGCAGCTTTGCAGAGAAGGACCTGGGAGTCCTGGTGGACAACCTAACCATGAGCCAGCGATGTACCCTTGCAGCAGAGGCAGCTGACAGGCTCCTGGGCAGCATTAAGCAGAGCAGTGCCAGCAGGTCAAGGGAGATGATCCTTCCCCCGCACTCAGCACTGGTGGGACCACATCTGGAGTGCTGTGTCCAATTCTGGGATCCCCAGGATAAGAGTCGTGAACTTACTGGAGCAAGTCCAGCAAAGGGCCACAAAGATAATGAAGGGATTGGAGCATCTGACATACGAGGAGAGGCTGAAAGAGCTGGGACTGTTCAGCTGGAGAAGAGAAGCCTCTGAGGAATCTTATCAGTGTGTTTAAGTATCTTATGGGAGGGCATAAAAAAGATGCAGCCAGACTCTTCTCAGTGGTGCCCAGTGAAAGGACAAAAGGCAACGGACACAAACTGAAGTACAGGAAATTCCTTTTAAGTATAAAGGATTTTTTTTACTGTGAGGGTGGCTCAACACTGGACCAGGTTGCCCAAAGAGGCTGTGGAGTCTCCATCCTTGCAGATGTTCAAAACCTGACTAGACACAGCCCTGGGCAACCTGCTCTCGTTGACCCTCCTTTGAGCAGGGGGTTGGACCAGATGCTCTCCAAGGCCCCTTCCAACCTCAGCAATTCTGCGATTCTATGAGAACAGCAGCATCTTTTGTAGCCCAGACAGTAGATCAACTGAGTAACAAAGCAAACTATAAAATGTAAATGGAATATATTTTCTCTTTAAATTATTACATACAAAGTTAGTTTTGCTGCCTGCGTTTTGCTGATCTCATTTTTTCAAATCTTGACTCCATTTCTTCCAGAACCTTCGGTGTGTATCGTACAACTAATTTAACCTTTCCTTGAGCTGCTTTCAGCAGTTCTACAGCTTTTTCATGGTGTTCACCTTCAACACTCTGCAAAGCATAAACCATTAAGTATCATATTAGTAAAGAATATACACACTGAAAACACTTTCACCTTTTTTTGCAAAAATTCTGCATAATCAAATATTAAAGTACATTAGTTTCAAGGCTGCACAAGAATAGTGTCATCCAAGTTCAGGATTTATCCTTCAGCAAATCACTAAGCAAGAGGTGAAAACAAATATACCGATTAAAAAAAAAGTACTGATAAGAGTGATCTTCTGGGTCAGGCTTACATTGAATTATTAGATTCTGTATTTGCACACTAAGTGAAGTAAGGAGCATATCAGGCAAGATGCCTAAAAAAATTATACTCCAAAAAAATCAATGACTTCAGAATACCAATTTGTTTTTAAAACCAACATTATTTTTCTTCTTTCATCATGAATTTTAAATTCAATGCTCATCTTCATTTTGCTTAATAGGCTACCTCAAATTATCTTGCATTTAGCTAAAAGCAAGAACCCAAAGACTATTGCAAGACAGCTGCCTTCTTGATATTATCCTGTTAGTGCATGGCAAGAGAGCACATACTGGGTGCACCTGCAACAGAGCACCTAACATGCACTATGAGGCCAATCCTGTGCCCACATACACATTCTTGCCCCATGGTCCTGCAAGGTATTCAAGTTAACTTGTCCCAAACTAATGAAAAACAACCTAAACCCAACTAAGCAAGAACAGATTAATACTTTCCTAAACCAACTCTGATAATTTATTAGAGTTATACTACATTAATCTAATTACAATATTTGAGCAACAATTGTCAACTACAGCATCCAAATATAAATTCCTGAATATCATACATTTTATGGGCAAAACTTATTTTTCCCAAATTTATCAAACGCAACAGTGGGACTACCCCAAGTCTACCTCCCACCAATGCTATTAAAACTAGAAAGCAGCTGATGTACTTGTTGACTGGAGGGCTTCCCCGTTACTATAAGTTACTTGCAGAAGGAAAGATTAAAAAGTTAAAAAGGTTATTTCTCTTCTGTGTTCTTCTTCAGACAACACATACTTTTGAATGTTTTCATTTATGTTATTCAAGTGGATGTGGAAGCTGTTCTGTTTAAAACTGGGAATGAAAAGTTTGTAAAGTTCTATGTTTAAATAAATCAAAATACCTAAAGCTCTGGAGTACACGCAAAATCTCCCAGTGGAAAGGAATACTTCTTTTAAGAGACATGGATCGTAGTCTTGGCAGCAGCACAGTAAAAATTGTTTTTAAGAACTATATTAGCACTACAATTATTAAAAGACAATGCCTGCCTCACATGTGCATTAAGTTGATGGGAAGCCATCTGCAAATATCAGAAGGAAGATTTGTCCTCCGAGACCACTCTTGTATTCTCAAAAGTATTTTAAGCACTCCCTCACCATATTCTTACAGTGGTTATATTACATACAGTCATTGTCAGCTGTACCAACTGTCTGACAGGCATAGTCAGCACTGCCGAGGTGCACCCATGTGTGTTTTCAAAGAAAGTTTGTGGGCAAGGAACGCCTAATCTGAGGACAGCTCTATACTTTGAAGTATCAAGGGGCAGGTAACAGGCAGGCAAGGCCAAGGACAGTTGCATCACTTTGGCCGGGATTTCTCCCATGTCTCCTGAAAAAAAGACAGTAGGACCAGGTAACAGTGAGGAGACAAGTATGCCACAGGTCTGCACTAGCAGGGACTTTCCAGAGTATAGACACCCAGTAAGTATGCATTTCTTTCACATGTCAAGAATATTGCTTTGGATAAAGAGCACAGGACTTAGTTTAACCCTCAGTCTTAAAATAAAATTAGGTTAACAGACGTAGAGAACATGAATTTTAGGTTAGCATATGATAAAAACTTCTGAAAATAAAACTAAAAGTTGGAGAGCTATTTATGTGCATTTGACCAACAGCTGTCTTGAAAGCTTGTCTATAGCCTCCTCTTTCTAGTCACCTCAAGGTTTTCTTTTTGTATTGTAACTCTTCAGAAGATCCTTATTAAGAATAAATATCCACAGTAAAACTTAAGACAGACTTCTTAAAATAAGCTAGAAAGTTTGTTCTTCGAAGCTCAGCACTTAAGTCAAAAGATCACACAACTAAAGATAGCACCTTGCAGTTCTGTCTTGTTACAGCTTTCATTATTAGCATTTTTATTGGGATAACTATATCAAAACACCTCACTTCAGTCTAAAGCAACATAGCATAATTTACTACTTGACTTAGAAGGTGCAGAAAACTATATTAAAATCTGCATCAAACCGGGACGAAAGTAGCAGCTGTAAGGACATTTTAATGCTAGATTTATATAACCTCTCAGAATCTGAAATATTCACCTAAATTGCACACTTCCCAGTTTAGACAGGTAATCACAGCATAACCCAAGAACTCTCGTGGCACACAACTCTTTAGAAACCTAAGGTTGTTCTTACAGAGAGAAGAAAAAAAAAAAGAAGCAATTTTGCCAAAATTAAAAGACGACATAGAGCTTGTAGCATATATATGCTCTGTATGCCCTCAAGTGGAAACAAACAGCTACTGCTACGTAAAGTGAAAACCAATTCCTACCACTCCATTTACAGAAAGAAGCTGATCTCCACGTTTCAGGCCCCCATGTCTATCAGCTATACCGCCTGGGATAATTCGAGAGATATAGATTGGAGAATTTTGTTCTTTGCCTCCCATGATGTTGAATCCAAGACCTTCTTCGGTTTTTGGCAGTTCAACCACTCTGGGATGGGAATGACCTTCACTAGCAGCAAATGCAGCTACAGTAGCCTGTAAGAAACAAGATTTCCTATTTATAAGAAATGAAATATAGAACCCTTGGCTAGAGACAGTGAGCAGGTTAAAAAAAGTCAGTGAGCAGGTTAAAAAAGTATTTCTCTTTCAAGGTATTTAAATATTAAGACAAATGAGATTAAACGCAACACTAGCATGAAAAATTTAGAAACCTAAGAATAAAATTTAAAAGTCAGTATTTAAAAATAAAAAATCTTTTGTTATACCTTGTAACGACCCATTATGCTTATCCATTTTACACTTGTCCACCCAGACATCCAGATAATGCCCTTCTGCATTTTAATAACCTTCTTTCTGCTTCTAATGTAACAGACTGCTGTGTTTTCTGAAGTTATAATTTGCCTTTTACCTTTGCTGTTGCATTAGCTCTAACTTCTGGGCTACTGCTGATGTCCACCGTCTCATATACGTGCTCGTACACCTTTAGGAACAAAACAACTTAAGTATGAGGAAAAACAGAGATCTGCTTAGCTCATATGACAAACTACCTGTTATAACTTGAATATGTAAAATAAAAGGCCTAGACTTCTAATAAAAATGTTACTCCCAACCCGCTACAAGGGGTCAAGTGACAACCTACCACAGGTAGATGAAACAATTCTCTCAAAATCTTTATCGCTCAGCATATTATCGAGGCATATCTAGGTTCCACAGCATTCAGATTCCATCATGAACATAGAAGTGCTTATGGCTAGCGTAATAACCCTGACTGGAGATATGGAAAAGTCTCTGAAAGAATATGTGGAATGAAGATGAGGTGCAAAGCTATCCTGATGCTGACTCCTGATAAGACTTAAAGAAGCAGAGGCAATTCATGCTTTGCCCATTCTTACAGGCCAACAGGATAACAGGGCAGCCTCTCAAAATAAAAAAGCAATTTTGTTCTGATCTATTATTTAGTACACCTACATTACCCTAAATTACCCTAGATAAATTTTAGATAAGAACAAACTCAGATTATTGTACTGCATACAGAGAAAAAAAGCATAACACTATTTAACTCAAGGTAATGCCTTACATCAAGTTAACTTACCTCCCTTACAGCATTACAGAATTCACTTTGAAGGACTCTCTGCAAAGCCTGTAGTTTTTGTGGTGGCACTTCTCCACTTCTCTGTAATTTTTCCAGCAACTCAATTGCTCTGCAGATATCTACAAAAAAAATAAAGCGCTGGTAATGAGGAACGGCTATTTTTAACTAAGTGAACATAACAGTCTATGTTTTAAGAATGTTGTGTTATATGCACAACATACTAAAGCTACATTTCTTCCATACAAGTATGTACTATAAAACATCACACAATCTTAATTTTAAACTATTATTTTTCAGTCGATCATTGCAATTCGATCTGTGAAATACATGAAAGTATCATTGCTATGTATATTTTTGAAGATACAATGTAATTTTTCTTTTAAGTTTAAATCAGACTGAAATTTTTCCTTGATATATAATATACGCTAACAACATTTTTGTATGCGTAACTTCACAATTTAGCTACCACATCGATATCATTTTATTCCAACCACATAAAACACCTTACCTACACTTACGCTCCCTTTTCATTCAAAAACTAGTTCAACAAGATACACTCAATGCTTTCCCTATAAAAGGGCTGAAAATTGTCCGGCCTACTGAGGCAACAGTAGCCTCTACAACTGTTATCACCTGGATGCTAAATAGAGCAGTTGGAATCATAAAAGCTGGATGAAAACTCACTTGTGAATATGCTTTCTTTTTTCTCCTTGCTGCTTCATCATTTCTTTCTCAAAAGACAGACACTATCTAAATGTGGCTGATTTTTCAAAGTGCTCAGGAAAAAACCCAAACTCCTTTTGATATTCTTGGTTGAGAATTCTGTAGTCTAGAATCCAGAACCAAAACCATTTTGTGCAGTTCCTAGAAATTTATTCTTAAAAACCATAATCATTCACGTTCCCATAACTGCACTTCTTTGTGCATGCGTGAAACTGAACTCCCTCTGACCGATTTGATTCTAGACCAGTCAAGTCAAGAAGGGCATCAAATGAGTAAAACACTACGTGACATGCTCTTGGCAGCTCTACAAGACTAAAATACCACACGTTATTTGCCTTGCTTTTATTTCCCAAGTATTACAATGGTGATGATTCTGAATCACATATGTCCTTGAACAGAAGCAGAACAGTCTCTTCAAAAAGCAGATACAAAGGATTACTTTCATTACCAAGTGGGCACAAAGAAGCAGTGATCAATTTAATCATACATTCTACTATACCAGTAAGGCATAGATAATTTCAGATGGATGAAGTGTGGAACAAAGGTACGTCCCAAACACGCTACTACTTTTTTCAGTAGCTAACCTTTAGGCAACCACTTTTCATGTGAATGCATGTCTGCTTGATGGCACTGTGTCAGCAACGAGGACATGAAACAAGCATGAAATCCTAATGGCTCAAAAAGCTTAAGGAAAGAGGAGACAAGTTTGGGAACTTACATAAGAAGATGGAAAGACACTGCTTGTTATGTTCTCAAATTAAGGCGGAACACATTGGCAAAAGACAATACGCAGTTACGTCTGTCCACTTTTGTAAGGTATCAAATCAGCAACATCTTACAGACTACTACACTGAGATCAGGTGATACACTCATTTAAATCAGGTATGACTTAATACACTTCATACACTGCTCAACCACCAACGCAGTTAAAGCTCTGTCTGTGTCACAGTCACAGAACAAATCCTTCATCACCATTAAGGAAGGATAATAAAACACCATTGCTACAGCACTGAAACATATTCCTTTGGAAAATGTGATGAGCGTTAAGGTTTCTACATGCTATGAGAACTAAGCGTTTTTCAGCAAGCATTATTCATACTTTAAAAGCATCGGGGATCTAAACCCAACAAACATCAAAAACAAAATTTTAAGCTCATACTAACCCCAAGTCTTCAGAGAACTCATTTCACACAAGCATGCATATTTGCTGTACGTACAAAGATTACAAAACGAAAAAATGCTAAAGCTTTTAATTTCCTAATACACATTTTGTATTTTATTTAAAAACACAGAAGTTGATTAAACTGAATAGATTCTAGTCAGGACCATTTATTAATCTTTCAATCTTTTATGATGCATTTTCATGAAAATTCTTAGTAATCTCTACATTTAGCAATAAGAGTATAAACTCTCTTAATTTCATGAAGTCTCACATCAAACAGCTTGAAGCAAAACAATCAACAAACGGAAAGAAGTTATTCACCTCCCTTTGCACTATTAGCACTTCCAGTTCCTGCAACAAACTCCATATATTCATGAAAAAAAAAAAGCCTAGAAGTACGTAAATTACAATATAACTATCATTTAAAATCTTGCAGACAAACAGCTACTTCATGCACACAGAGAAAAGAGTACCATTCTACACAGCAGTTCTCAAGTCTGAGAAGTGTGGTCCATGAACCAAATTAAGCAATAACATGAGTGAATTCATTATCTCGGAGTGTTCCCCATCCCCCCAAGGTAGAATGTAGTAGGTTGGGAACCAGCTGTGTCTTTCATAAAGCACGGACTAAGAGATGGCACACAACTCAGCTTGCCAAAAGGTGACTACAATACACACACAGTGTGCACGAATTGGATGCAACTAAACCAGAAGATGCACTTGCATCATTAATGAGCATTCAGATCAAAGGACCAGAACATTGCTGAGAAGTAAAAAACCAAAGCAGACACACAGAATAGGAAAGTTGGGTACTCGGCACTCTACAAATTGGCTTTTAACACAGTGCTTCTCTTGATCAGGTAGGTATAGACAACGGATCCCATTAGCAGCACTTTCTCCCCCCAACAGTTACTTTGTTTTACCACCTTAACAGGACCTAGTTATACTAGTTTGAAAGTGAAACGAGCATAACTTTCTCACACCAAACTAATGCAGCAATGCAATGCTAATCAAAAGCTGAAGACTCACTCTGTCTCAATGCTCTACTGCTTTGGAAAGGAACTAGCCAGCTGGGAAAAGGCGGTAAAGTATCTTCTTCTTACAGCTGTGCACAGAGAACAAAAGAAAGGGATGCCAACAGCTCTGTTGATCTCGCCTGCTTCCTCCTGAACTACTGCTTGGGATATGATCAGCTGATAGCTTTCTTCCTCATTATATTAACACTATAGCTTGGCCAACTGTTCAGAACCAGAGACTGAAATGAACACTACAGATTTCTTGTTAAAATCCTTCAAAGCCAGAAATGATGCAAAAATAACTCCAGAGGTAGGTGATAAAAAACATAAAACTCTTTGTAAAGCTCGACTCACACATCATTTAAAAATGGATTTTCTTTGAACCTTTTCCTCTTTTTTAAATTAGTTGCCTGTTCTTCACAAGTTTAGTGACCACAAGATACCAGATTGAAGTGCTGACAGGAAAACACACTTAAACCAAGAAAGAACGTGGAAAACCGGCAAAATGCCTCCACTCTGTGCATGCATACGTATGAACAAAACATAGAAAGGAGGAAAAACGCAACATCAGACATTGCATTGTTAGACATTGCTAAATAACCACTTCTGCTGCTTCTGTTCAAATAGTCTGCATTCCTAAGGTGTATGTCGATTTATCATATATATCACTAAGCTAAAAGAACAACTTCAAAACGTTAAATGTTGTTTCATCGCTTCACTCCCGTGAACCTGGGTGGTGGTGGCTGTGATACAGCTTAGAGGAAAGAACAGAAGGGGAGAATCTTCATTTGCCCTGATAGTAAGCATATGGTAACCACTTTAAATCAGCACATTTTCTACGGTAGCCTCTCTTTTCTTATGCTATACGCCAGCAACATTAGTAACGCTCATTTTCATGCTGACAACGATTCATAAGGTTATTTGCAGTCAACCCCATAGAATTAACAGAGGTTGTTTATTTCTGTAAAGAAAGCGCTTACTTCTGTAGCTTCATTATACAGACATTATACTGTAGTCCCTTTTTCTTCTTTTCTCCAAAAGACTAACGTGCCAGAAGACTTTAAATAGCTCCTTTGTTCCATTGATCCCTAAGTAACTGCACAGATTTGTTTTTCATGCGTAGAGCATAGTGGCAGGGTAATGAGGTGGACAGGGATGCTGCCTGAGGTTTAACTCAGCAGACCTACCAAGAGCAACTAATCCACCGCCAAAGCAGCTGCTCTAATTAACAAGCTTTGGAGGAGGGAGGGTAGATAAGCTATGGAGTGGGAAGTAAAGTTCTTACATAAGTACTGTACTATTTACAGACCTTCCCTCACACATTACAAGTGATTTACTTGTGGAACAGTAAGGAGAGGAGACAAACAGAAGAACTGAATTCTGTGGTGAGTAACACTTAACAGTATCAACCACAAAGAAGTGGGCATATAAAATATGTAGTTACACATCCATACAGAAGCATCTAGAATGCTGAGCAAAGATGGTGGGCCCAAAGGGAACGGCAATGGGAAAATAATCAATTCAACTAAGTCACCTACACTTCATATAATTGCTTTGCTTTTCAAGAATAGAATTCTTGATTCTCGTTATTCTTTTAAAATTCCATATTCCATTCACTATTTTTACATACATCCTAATATACCAGTCATATATACTGCTTATACATGGATGCCCTCACAGAGCTCCTGTGGGCTTGGCACAATTCTGAAGAGCCATACTGAAGGGAATTTATTATTGCTTCATAGAATGCTGGATAAGAGACACAGACGTGTACTACAGAAGAAACAGACAATTCAGTTTTGGATTTTATCTGCTTCTACTTACATACTACACAATATCAGCAGTACAACTTAGCACTGAAAACGACAAGGTCAGGCCAAAGACAGAAACATGAAAGTGTAAAGAGTTAAGCAAAATTCATGACCAAATGTTTTGTTTGTTCATGCAAAGTTTCCTGTGCAAAAAAAAAAAAAAAACAAGGCCTGCTGCTAAGACACAGTGCAGTAAATTAAACTCAAGAATTTAGCTTTGATCAAGAGTAAACAATCCAGTGGAAAAGGCAGAAACAAGGAGTCAGCTGGTCGCGTAAATTGCTGGCGGAAGTTTTGACCCCAGCGAGGGCGCTGCACACACGCACCTACAGCCGGTCGGGGCGAGGGCCGGCGGAGCGCCCGCCGCCACCCCCTCAC